ATCACCGCCCTGGGATATGCAGATGCGGCTGTGTAGTAGAGAAGGATTATTGGGAACGAAGTGTCAAAGAGTCCCAGATGTGTGGTGGGGGGGAAGAAATGGTGTTGGGTGAGAGAATTACGACTTGTCAACAAGGGCGATTTGCTCCGCGGGTCATGCGCCTGTGTGCCTGGAAAGGATGCCGCTAAATGGAGACCCCAGAATTCGATGGAGATTCGTCTTAGGCCATCACGAAGACATGGGGAGGCGCCTCTCTTATGAGGCAAATCAAAGCATGGCGTGTGCCGGCTTTCGGCGCTGTCTAGACTGCGGTGGCTCCAATAGCGCTCTTCTTCAATCACTGTCTGCTCAAACTTTTCGCCTTCGCAGTCCGCGACCAATCAACGCCAAGCGCACAGTCATAGGCGATTTGCTTGCAGTGACGCGACATGGCTCTTCGCGACTCACCCAACTAACACGATGTGAAAGCCGGGGTAGTCTCGGTGTATAGCAGGCTGTCAGCACGCGCACCGAGAAGCTGTGAAAGCTGCACTACAAACTTATATGCTGTCACTCTCCCATACACGCCCACACAACTGAACTGCAGCATCCAGCCACTGCCACTGCAGGTAGTCCGAGACCCGAAAATCTCGAATACGTCCGAACCGTACACCTAGCTGCATCGAGCCAAAGCCACCATGGGTGCATCACAGTCCACCGGCGGCGGCGACGCGCCTAGTAATGCCGGCGAAGTCAAGACAAGTTACTACGAACTACTGGGTGTGGAGCGCAATGCCACCCAAGATGAGTACGTGACACGACGCGCGTAACGTATTCAATACTAACATTTATAAGACTCAAGAAGGCATACCGCAAGAAAGCGCTCGAGCTGCACCCCGACCGAAACTACGGCGATGTCGAACGTACCACTGCCCTCTTCGCCGAAGTCCGATCCGCATACGAAGTTCTCTCAGATGACCAGGAGCGCGCATGGTACGATGCACACGAGAGGGATATACTGCGGGGTACTACTGGCGAGGAGACCGGCGACCATTACCAGGGTGACATGAAGGTTACGACAGCCGACGACATAACGCAGATGATGGGCAAGTTCAGGGGGAATGTGGACTTCTCAGACTCGCCCAACGGCTTCTTTGGCTTCGTACGAGAGACGTTCGAGCAACTGGCGCGCGAAGAGGAGTATGCCGCAGACTATGACGACCTCGATGTACCGGATTACCCTAGCTTTGGTCACAAGGACGATGAGTACGAAGGTGTTGTGCGCGACTTCTACTCAGCATGGAACGGCTTCGCAACTGTCAAGAGCTTTGCATGGCTAGATGAATACAATCCCTCTCTTCAGCCTGATCGCCGCTACCGAAGGGCTGCTGAGAAGGAGAACCAAAAGATCCGCGACGAAGGCAGAAGGGCGTTCAACGATGCGGTCAGAACGCTGGTTGCGTTCGTACGCAAGCGAGACCCACGATATACCCCGAACACACAGACGGCAGAGGACAAGGCCAAAGCACAGCGGGATGCTAGGAAAGCGCAGGCTGCACGAGCAAGAGCTGCGCAGATCGCCAAGATGGAGCAAGAGGAGCAGGCGGTGCCAAGTTGGGCTACCGCACGTCCGGCGGATGAACTTGAAGAGGAAAGCGAGGGTGAAGTCGAGGAAGACGTCTACGAGTGCATTGCGTGTAACAAGACATTCAAGAGCGAGCGACAATACGATGCCCACGAGAAGAGCAAGAAGCATCAGAAAGCAATCCAGGCTCTCAAGAAGAAGATGCAAAAGGACAACGCCCATCTGGACTTGGATGAAGACGCTCTCAAAAGTGACGAGATCCTACCGGTGGAGGATGAGCTTGCAATGGAAGCCGAAGTTTCTGGTGGTGGAGACTCCGATGCATCCGTGAAAAACCTCGCGACAAGGACGAATGAGCTTAACATAGACGACCACAGTACAGACGAGGAAGAAGGCCGTGTGGACCGAGTGGCACCTAGTAACACAATGTCTGCATCGCCCGTCGACTCAGAAACAAGCTCAGACGTTGACGACGAATATGCTTCGCGCTCCGAAATAGAAGCACGACTTGCTGGCGCCAGCACAGAACCCTCCACAGCGCCCACCGAAGATCTCGACTTTAAACCTGAAGATCCCACAGAACCAGAAGTCACCGCTCCGCCGGAACCCAAGCTCGGCAAGGCTGCGTTGAAGCGCATGAAGAAGGCTGCAAAACAGGCTGAGAGCGAAGAGCCCGATGTCAAAAACAAGTGTAATGGCTGCAGCGCTGGTTTCTCGTCCAAGACTCAACTGCATCAGCACTTGAAGAAGCATCCCGAACATGCGGCGCTGAAATCTGTCGCGCAACCGGGTGGTGGGAAGAAGAACAAGAAGCGATAGTAAAAATGATGGCACGAATTACGATCTGTATGAGAGACATGGTATTGATGTATGGTTTGCTTTGGCATAGCGCAGGTGTTTGCTAGAGGCTAGATGATTTGTTAGACTTGCATTGAGCGGTTGTTGCTCGCATTTTCAAAGCGTCTGGATATGCTGCCGCAAAAGTACCGTTCAGAACAGAAATTGTCGCTGATGTTCATCTCCCACTTGCCATCAGTATAATACTTCATATCTTCTCGTATCAGGTTCATGTTCCTGGAGGTTTACCTACTACAGAGCACCTCAAGATGAGACCCGGAAGCCTGCTGGATTTCACTCGAGCATTCTCTTTGTTTGACGCGCGATCATACCCAAGCAAACATAGACATACGACTCACAGTAACGGCTAGATGTGTTTCAAAGTTCTTGAATTCCACGACCGATTCTCATGGGAATTGCCAACAACCATCCGCACGCTGCCCGTCATGTCGCAGGATCAGGAGCTTGTACGATATCAGCGTCTACTCACACTCAACGATATCGGCGGGAAAGCCAATGAGTTAGGTATCGAGGCTACACAAGAAGTGCTGAAAAATGTGCCGTTGGTGTGGTGGGACGTCAAACAGCACATGGACAACGAGAGTGCCGGCTTACGACAGTATGCTGTTCTTTGGTCTTCAGGAGTGAAATGCGCAAAGAGACAAAAGAACAACAGTTGAGAGTAGCGAGCACTGTGATCTCTTCGCCCGACGACGTGTTGGTACAAACAGTTGTTTTCGTTGCTTGAAAATGCCCCAAATGATGCATATGTTGAGAATACCGTGAGGAGAGTCTGTATGAGCGCGTCCGAGCGCTCGATAAGCTTTGGCAAGCCATGGGTGCGTTCGCGAAGTGGAAGTTCTTCCGTGGAGTTAGTGCATATGCGTTTCCACACCCCACTACGCCCCTGCAAGTGCTATCGCTATACACATTATATCTCGGGTAGTCGCCTGACGGAACTCTCGCATTGCCACTTGTGTAGTCATGTTCGCGTTGCTTTTGATACAAGGCTACCAGAAGGCGTGCAAGGCAAGACTAGCGTCTTCAACGGTTGAGGAGTTCCTTTTTCTGGCGTGTGGGTTCTCGAACGTCAGATAATCATGCCTCAAGGTTCTGATGGCATTGCCGTGTGCCGGGTCGAGCATGCGAGCGAATGCGTGAGAGCAGATAAATGATCAACCACCGGGATTAGGCCATTCCATTTCACAGTCAGGCATTCTGTCAATGTCCTGTGCCGCACTCAGCCGTTGTTCCACCAGCCCGTGTCGTATCGGCAAATGAACGATTGTGTTCCTATGTCGGCGAGTATGCAATGTTTCAGGAGCAAGAGTGACGATTGTTGATAGGTGGCAGGGTCTGGGTTTCTCCTTGACATGGCTCCGAACACCAAAAAGGTCACTGATAGTAAGATAGAGGGGCATTCGGGTCTCTATGCGGCGCAGGGTCGAACGGGTTGGGGCGCATTGATCCTCGTCGGATGTTGCGGATCCCACCTTCCTGATTGTGATGCTCGCCTTGCGACGTCCCATCACCTCCATGTACAGTTAGCTGAGGGTATAGAGCTGCAGATGCCAGGGGATAAGTCCACCTGGAGTGTTAAGCTCCCGCGCTAAGCAGCGTGGGCCCTCGAACAAGAGTTCTCCCATTGCATGGCGTTGCTTGACGTCAATGCATCGGGGACTGCTCCAAGACGTTTCCTTCGCGCACTTTTAGTTCTATGGTACTGGGTTGGACTCCAATATGGCGGTTCGCGGCCGGCGTGATTGTTGATGCCCGTTAGCGTTCGCGGTCAGAGTCGCTTGCGTGCGCGTGCTCTCGCCAGCTAGCCAAAGACACGACTAGCCGAGGCTGATGCGTCTTAGCGCCAGGGTCTGACGGAAGCTTCTACCCCTGAACGATCCAGGCGAACAACTCCTATCCACTCTTTCCTGACACCTTCAGATCCTTTTGATCGTATTCCAGGCCATGCACTTATCGTGTCCGGCTCTAGCGGCTCTCTGATAGGGCCTTGATCGAACTGTCAGCTCGTACTTGCCCAGTCTGTCATGGTGTGGGGATAGCCCAGGGGTTCGCATGGACACCCTCCGCTACTAATGGTTAGCTGTGCTCAGTCGACGCTTGTCAGAATGGACGCTCGTATCAAATGGGGCACTATCTGAAGGCGGCTTTTCTCTCGAGTCTTGTCCATTTCTTGGGATTCTTGTCTCTCTCCAACTTCGCCTCTCGACCTCACAACTTACCCTCAGTCATTCGTTAATACAGTCGCGCGTTGTTCACTCGTTATGCAATCATGATGCCAAAGGCGTACCGTCTATCTTTTTCGCACCTCGTCTTTTACATCTCGACCTTTGTGATCGCAACCCAGTTATGGTCCATATGGGGGCAATCGAAACACAACTATATTCCTTTTTCACACCATAGGAATCTTCAGCGAGACTGGGACTTCAACGCCGACCTGCATGCCAATGTGCACACACTCAGCCATGACCAATGCGATTCCGCTTTTCCAAAGCTGTATCACAGCTTAGATCAGTCGGTTAGCCTAAGGCAAGGCAGAAAGGTGCATATTCAGGATATCGAAATCGATCAGGGAAGATGCATGCTACGGGTTATGGTATACGAGGGCGAGGTACGTCTATACGCGTCTGGTCAATTTCCGGGCTACAACTAACCTGCCACTCCTAGCTGTTTGTCGTCGATGCCGGAAAGCCAGAGGAATGCTACGTCACGAACGGAAACGAGAGAGAACGCATTCTAGGAACCCTAGCACAAATCGACCGCGCCGTCTCCACCACCTCAACATCCGACCCCTCGATCCCAAACGTCGAATTCTCCCTCTCGCTCGACGATCTGCCGCGGCGATCCAGGAAACAGGGAACATTCTTTGGGTACACCCGGAAGGAGGGTCCGGAGTACAAGGACATTTGGATGATGCCAAACTACGCGTACTGGGCGTGGAACTATACCCATGCTCCAAGCTGGAACAGCATCAGGAAAGAAATTGAGCAGAAGGAGACCGAATTGCCATGGGCGAAGAAGGACCCTAGGATCGTATGGCGGGGCAAGGTCAAGATGGCTAAGCTGAGGAAGGAGCTGGTCCGAGTCAGCGAAGGCAAGGAATGGAGCGACATCAAGCCTGTGGTCATCAACAACGCCAGCGACCCGCATACCAAGGACGTTATGAATCTGAGGCAATTCTGCGGGTAAGAGACAAAGCTGCGACATGGGTATGAAACCGTACTGACCGTCTTCTAGATACAAGTTCACCGTCCAAACCGAAGGTACCTCGTACTCCGGCCGCCTTAAGTACCTCCAGCTTTGCCGCTCAGCCCTCGTTACACACCCTCTCGAATGGCAAGAGTTCCACACTCACCTAATGAGGCTTGCTGGTCCCGACGTGAACTACATTGAAGCGTCCGAGAACTTTGGAAACCTCGAATCGGCTATGGAGTACTACCGTGCGCATGACAACGAAGCTGAGGAGATTGCAAAGAACAGTTACGAGACCTTCACCAGAAGGTATCTGACACCAGCGGCAGTGACTTGCTACTGGAGACGGCTGTTTTGGTCATGGGCGAGTGTACAGGGATATGAGCCACAGTTGTACGTACCTGACAAGGACGGCAATCTGGTCATGCGAGGTACACCATGGACTGCCTTTGCGGCCAATTGGCCCAAGGATCCTGCAGCTATTCCGTGAGCGGGAATAAGAAGTGTTAGGATAGGCGTTGCATGAGCATTTGGAGTACTTGGTTTTATGCTTACGATACCCGCGTTCAAGCGTTCCAATAGACACGCATTATTATCTACGTTTACAGTAGTCACTTGAGGCGGAGCTTTGTCCTTTTCAGTCGTGTTTTAGATGGCTTCGACCGCCTTTGTCCTGCATCATAGGATTCAAGCGAGTAATATAGGTCCATTAACCCGCACTCACATGCACATTTACCCTTGTACTAAACGTTGACGCTTGACGCCCAGCTGCGACTATAACGAGGATTTGTCTTGACTGCAAATCCTACTTCACGGGCTAGACTGAACCTGAATGATCTCTGGTGCACACCTGGGCAGCTGATCGGACAGCATGTTTGACCTATACCCTGATCTTTACCACTATATCTTGCAGTTTGGCGCACGCTCGTTTGCGGCTCAGGCTAGTGTGCCTAATTATGCATAAACACACGCACGCTGTAAGTTGATAAGATCCTAGAGCAGAGATTTTGATTGAGCGGGTAAGTATATAGAGAGAGGTGAGGTCGTTCTACATGAGGGTAATAGTACAAAGGACCAAAAGACAGTCGACAGCGCTGAGCTTTGCAAAATACATTAAGGAACGTCCGCAAACCACTTGTGCGCCAAAGCCTCAGAAGCTGTGATGCGTCGTTTCGGGTCCATACTCATCATCTTCATCAAAAGATCCTTCAGATCTTCGTCGAGATCGCTCCACAGGCAGAGTGGACGTCGCGGATAGTCTTCGCTGAAATTCGCCATCACGAAGTTCAGGTAGCCAATCCAGGGGCTATCTTCCAAGTAGGTGATCAACCCTTCCATATCTTCTAGGTCGCTGAAATATGAGACCTGACGTCGAACGACGATGGCCTCGATTGGATTGTCTTCTGTAGCCTTTTTTGGATCTACAGCGAGAACTGCTTCCTTTGTCACGGCGTATATGCACTGCGAAATTGAGTTACGTATTGAAGCACGATGCAAGTGGTAGGCCACTTACAACCAGACCAAAGGAGAACATGTCTGTCGGCTTTTGTATCGCTGCCGCTGCGTGCGCCTCTGGACTGCGCCACATCCAGTTTCCTCACTGCCTGCCACTGATGTAATGGTTATCCGGGAGGTGAACCATATCTTCCATGTCAGCAATCTGCACTTCTTTGACTTCAAGCTCCCCTCTTTGATCGTCCCAATCTAGCAATATGTTGTTTGGCTTTATATCGGTGTGCACCATCCCTTTGGCGTGTAGTGCTGCGAGGCCACGCAGAGCGTCTCGAAGGACGAGTTTTGTTGTGGGAAGCGGAACGTCTTTCTGAACGAAAGACAGTAGGTGGTCACGTCGGTATGGATGTATGAAAGTGCAATGTTCTGAGTCGGTGTCTTCGGCAACACGTACGTGAGGCGTACCGCGAAGAGTGTCAAACATGGTCTTGCAATGCTTGTATTGCAAAGATCTCACGTGCGTGTCAGGTCGTTGCCTGAAGATGACGCGCCCAGCGCCCACAGTCGTTACCCCAGACCCCTCATCTCGAAATCTCGCTAAACTCTGGGAGGCACAGTCGGGTTGCAGAAGAGAAGAGGCAGAGCAGCGGAAGACGTGGCAATGGGAGCAGACAGCGTATAGCAATCGCCTGCTGAAGTGCGAACGTAGTGCTAGACACAAACGATCGATGAACGTGTAGTGGCGTCTCTTCTCATCAACTTGATAGAGTGATTTGGCGCGTGCACACGTGCGCACGTGATTGCGCGCCTGACGTGCTGCGCCTCCTCCCCGATCTTTGCGACGGACATGCATCGACTCCACGACTACACGCCATCTCTAATGACGGTGAATAGGTACGCGCATGCTGCCAAACTTCAGGACCGCATGTCCCTCTCTTCACTAGACACTGTCCAGTTGCAAAGACCCGCATCGCGTTTCCCGCTGCTCCGCAACCCCACACTAGCCACTATGCCGCCCAAGGCAACACCGCCCGAATTCCCCGTACAGGCGTTTCCTACGTGTACAGATTTCGAAACCTTTCTCGAGCGCGAATATGCCACGGCTCCCGGCCTCTACGTGAAGCTCGCCAAAAAGAATTCTGGCACACCCTCAATAACGGCAGCGGAAGCCGTCGAAGTAGCGCTATGTTATGGCTGGATAGATGGTCGCGCCAACGCCTGCGATGAGACCTGGTGGACGGTACGCTACACACCTCGGAGAGCGAACAGTATGTGGTCTCAGAAGAACGTCGGGACGGTGGCCCGTCTCATAGAGATTGGCCGGATGCGTCCCGCTGGCCTGGCAGCCGTTGATGATGCGAAAGCAGACGGACGATGGGATCGTGCGTACGCAGGGTCTGCTACAATCGTTGTGCCTGAAGATCTCAAGATTGCGCTTGCTCAGGTACCTGCTGCGGAAGCTCAATGGGAAAGCATGAACAAGGGCGATCGATACACAGCGTTGCTCAAGGTAGAGACAGGTACAAAGGCCGGAAGACCCAAAAGAATAGAGAGCATAGTTCAAGCGCTGGCAACAGGGAGACGCTCAAGTAGTGGTACTACTGCAGACAGGACAGCTCGGAAGGTTGCCAAGAGAGCTGAAAAGAACAGCGCGAACGCTGAACCCCACATGCAAAAAACAGCACCTTCACCCCTACGAACAGGACTGCGACGATGCAGGGACTGAGATCTCCTCCTAGTTATGCTCATAAGTGTACAACAATCGACGAGTATGCGCCCACAGCATGGCGGTGCAAAAAAGTTGGACATTTTGGCAAAAACATACAACAGCGGGGTGTCGTCTGGAACGAAGCCATCCGTGCCTCCCATCGATGGGCGTCTACATTTCCGATGCCACCTGCGAGCTCAATCACCTACCCTATCGACTTTACCGACAGAGAGAAGTCTTTGTTGAACAGCTACGCAGCCGTATTTTTGAACAAGAACAAACACTTTAGTAGCGCTGATGCGACAAGAGCAGAACTGGACACTGCCTGTGATTTGATACTGAAAGATTGGCCGATGAAGAAGGGAAAAACTCCGCGTATTGCCCGGGTAGTCTTTACTGAGGCAAAGAACAATCTTCTTCGTGCGGAGAAGGCCAACCTTCAGGAAAACGAGGAGAGCGCAATGGGAACTGCGAGCAAGAGAGCAAGACGTAAGAGACCGCTTGTGGGGTCTGAAGACGAGGACTAGGACGTGGAAGACGCGCGCGGTAGTCTTGATTGGCGAACTGAAGAGCAATGGCGGCCTTGCCCTGTAATTGAGAAGAGAATACAATTTACATTTTCCCAGGCTTCGTCATTAAAGTGCAGGATGGAGAGCCAGATGAAGGATGGAGAGCCTAATGACGGATGGGGAGCCTAATGACGAATAGAGAGCCTGATGACGTAGGAGAGCCTGATAAAGGATAGAGAGTCTGATGAAGGATAGAGGGCCTAGTAGAAGATAGAGGGCCTAGTAAAGGATAGAGGGCTTAGTAAAGGATAGAGGGCTTAGTAAAGGATAGAGGGCTTAGTAAAGGATAGATAGCCTAGTAAAGGATAGAGAGACTAATAAAGGATGTCGCTATGCGGAGATATTGCGCGATGTGTGTTAATAAGCTAATGCACGCTTTATCCCTACATTTTCCGGAGCGAGCATGTAGTTTATCCTCCTCCAGCGTTTGACGCTGCGATGACCGAGAGTTGACCCAGAGACGACCCCGAGTACTAATCTGCCGGTACAATGCTTGTATATGGCTGAGCGGACGGGAAGCCTAACGAGCGACGTAAACCTATAATATTGTTGGAAACAATTAGACAGAAGCCATGTGAACGCCCACATCCTGTCCGCTCGATGCCCGCCCCTGTCACCTTACAGTCCCTGCTTCTCGCAGATGCGGCGGATCTCATTCCATGTCTGTGACTGCAGCTTATTCCCTTGGTACCCAATGACCAGCTCACCTGGACTGCTGGAGGTCAGTATTTTCTATGGCGTGCAACACTTGTCCAGAGGACTCACTCATCCAGTATGTCATTAGACCAGAATTGGTTGTGACCGATCTTTCCCAGAAGCGTGGCACTGACCAACTCGCGCGCTCCTTGTTCAGCTGTGCGTCCCACAAACATTTGCATCAATTTTGTTGGCATCGCGAGATACCATGGGAAATCTCTCCCCAGATCTGTGGTGCAATAGCCCGGGCATGCAACATTGATGAAGACGTCGATATTTCCTTGGGCGTCCTTGGAGAAGTCGTCGACGAGGCCTTGTCGTATGTACTGCGTGACCAGCTTGATCAATCCATACGTCTTCGCGGCGTTGAAAGCAGTGGGGTCATTCAGCTTGTCGATCAATGTCTGACCACTCTTGACTTCAGCGTCTGCAGGCGTGACATACTTGCTAGCGAAGCTGCCAGTTATGGTGAGCTGGCCTGGAGTACCCTTGGACGCGTTACTTTTGAGGCTGGGAAGCAGTAGCATGGCGAGATACGCCGTCGATAGGATATTGACTTGTAGGGCTGCCTCGTAGCCTGTCTTCTCGTTCTCGACATAACTCGGAGGTGCGACCCCCGCGTTCAAGACGACGATATTAATCTCGTCGTATCTGCTGGTGACATCGTTGGCGAAGGTTTTGACAGATGTCCAGTTACTCATGTCGAGCTCGAGAATATCAATGACTTCGGCTTTACAGCCCGTCTCTGCGATGATAGAGCGCTTGGCTTCTTCCCCCTTTGAGAGATTGCGTACTGCGAGGATGACTTTGGAGGCACCGTTGGCAGCGAACTTGGTGGCGGCAGGCAAGCCGATCCCAGTATTTGATCCAGTGATGATCACTGTCTTTCCCACAAAGGACGATTTTGGGTCTTTAGGCGGGTTTTGCTTAGCCCATCGCATCGCTGCTATCTGCCCTTTCACAGAAGCAGGTGGGCCGGGACCGATAAGTGATTGGACATTGACATCGGTCGCCATGTTGGGTTTTATTTACAGATGAGATAGAAAGAAGGAAATGTAGATTTGGAGGAAAGAGGTAAGAAGATCACAAAGGCCCTTAGTCGACTTAGGGGCAGATTTCATTTTGTACAACACGCAGCAGTCACAACTATGGGGTTCAGGGGGGTCGCGACTCATCCGCTTCCCGTCCTGCGGAACTCCGCAGTACTGAGGCGGACGAACTTCACAGATGTATCGCCAAATCATTAACTGATGCTTTCGGTCTTGTCTTACTTTTGTATCAGCTTTTGCATAATGTAAAGACGTTTGCAAAAAGCCGATAATTTAGATGCGAGTATGTACTGAGTTCAAGATCACTTGGTATCGCTCTTCGAGTCTCGTGTTGCAGGTGCAGGATTTTGTATATCACTGAATACCTAAACAACTTAGGCTGCCGTTGACTGCGGAATAGCGCTTTGGTGCTTCTGTTGACTGAGACCTAACAATTGTAGTGTAAACTACCTACGAGGAGTATTGGCCTGACTATAATTACCCCACGGTTGGCTTCCCACCTCCTGATGCAGGGACGTATCTCCGCAGCTGCACTAGGTTGTTGACCCCCTGCATCCTTTTGAGCACGTATCGCACAGACGATGAGCAGGTTGATTATTTGGACTGGTGGTTTTCGGGGCGTGTTCTCTTAGGTCTTCGCTATCTCTTGAGCGTTGCGGATTATACTTATCCTGATATCTCGTGGCCTGAAGTTAGCCGCACACTATTTCCATCTCTTCCAGTATGGGTAATCTTAGAGAATTGCGACAGTTCGACTGTGCCATCTATTGGTACTTGCGCCAAATGAGTTCAACAACAGCCCGAGAGTGCCCTAGATCAAGCTCGTATCTACAAGAATAGCTGGGATAAATTGGCGATCGGGGGACAATACTATCGCATATTGCAGCGATGCCGTTCGAGTGTCTGCATGCTCGAGTCTTCCTCTCCCAGATGCTGATTCCCAATCAACTTTGGTCAAAATCTATGATAGACGACAGGACAGCACTTCTTGGGTGAAGATTTAGCACTCGTGTAGAAATTGGATATGACACACTAAACTCCAGAATAAATAGGTGCGATTGCGTTCAAACGTGGTCGATATCATGGGTTTGCTTATTGGGAGACTGAGGTGACAGTAATCGGTCAATCTTGTAGTGCCGGACATAGTGAACTTGGGCAATTATCTCCGGCTGCCCAAGCGCCGCCACAAGTCGTCACTACCATTCCATCACAACCGCATCACAACGACCCAAACAATGACACTAGCCCGCACTTACTTGTCGCTCTTGGCTCGTCGTTACAAAACCACTGTCCATAGCTGTGTCAAGGGAAACACCCGCTCAGGGCGTCAATCTGCGCGCCGTCGGGCGACGCGACGGTCAACTACGCAACCCTGCTGGGGAAGGCAGAGTTCGTGGATCGGTGCCGCACCGCCTCTCACGGTCATTGCCTGCATCGATGCTACTGGGTATCGCCTCCAACAACCATCGCTATCGCGGTGTCACATGCTAAAATCACATGGAAGGCCGAACAGCTTGTACCACAGCTGATCAGAAGAGCTTGATCGGAACCAGGTACCACCTAATGTCTAGCATCGCAACTCTAGGTCCGACTTCGGCTCTTCCGACAATGTGTCAACGACGATCAGTATCGAAACTCGGCGCACGTATCACGAACGGAACAGTGCAATACCAATCCAAAGGATAAATTGTTCCAAAAACGACGAAGCCAAAACACTACAGGCTAAATGTAGATGTAGCAGAATGGTCCGCCCATGGTGCTTGACGCATCTTCTATGGTGATGGGCCCAGGATATGCTGCCCCCATGCTCAGGGTGTCGTTGAGTGTTGCATTGGGCGAGGTCGGGGTTCCGATAAAGGTAGGTCCATACAAGGCAGTTGTACGCTCACTCGGCTTCAGGTTCTGCCAAGTCCAGTAAAGCCTGTCAATCGACGAGTGGTGGAAGAAGAAGTAGGGATCTCCAGGAGATGCTGTGAAATCACCCGCCGGATCGCCGCCAATGATAAAGTGACCGGCCGTGTGCACGCCCATGAAACCGTTCGCGAAGCTGTTCCCCATTGGCCCACCTTGCAAAACTTCCCAAAACGTTTGGTAGTCGTCACTCTGGAGCAGAGAAACCACGTCGTCGTCCTTCAGCCATCCCTCTCCGGTGAAGCCGTTGATATCGCGCATGAGACAACGGGGGTTGTATCCTAGGCCAGACGGATCGGGATTCGGTCGGACACATTTGGACGCAGGAACCAACGGTCCGAGATTGACAGTGAAGTTCGTGAACGGTCCTGAGGTCACGCAGCCACCACCTTGGCCATGCGGAATCTTGATGACTGGTTGATCGTTCGACGGGATTCCAGTCCATGTCTGATTGCTGCATCCTTTTGCGCCCTGTCCAGAAATCGACGTCGCAGAGCCGTCGAGCAGAGGCGACTTTGTAGGATCTTTGTGCCATCTGGAGTAACTGTCTAGATATCGGTGTACGAAATCAGCGTATGCATCACATGCAGTTCGTACAGAGACACCTACAGTAAGGTTGCGTGCCCTTGTAGCCGCATTCATTGCGCAAAGTCTGCTCATACGCCCAGGTAAAGTATCGGTGCCATGTGAGGAAGTTACCCGTAACGCTAGACATTGGTGGACAAAATCAGTACGTATCTCACATTCATGTTCCAAAGGGAGACCTACTGGATGTTGAAGGTCTGTTGCATGTGGGTGGCCACGAAATCGTCATAGCGATTTCTACAACCGGGGCACATCTCCTTTGGTGTCTTTGACGGCAGCTCAGCTAGACACTGAACCGCCCCGATGTATGCCTTCTTCTCAGCCTTGGAGAAGGTAGACCTTCAAGAGGATTAGCATGGTTATCGAGAAGCATTACGTTCCGGAGACTTACCATTCCTGCCGCACTTGGACGTTGCTGGGGTTGCACTTTTCGTACTGCGCGGGCTTTTGAGTGGCTTGATAGAGCTGCTGGTTGATTGCAGCGCCACCAGCCATGAGGTCCTGCTTGATACTACCCAAGCCAGCGAGGATGTCGTCAACATGGTCGAAGGGTCTCTTTTTGAACTGCGCTCGGTCGTGGGGAAGCGCATTCCCCACGGCCAAAGGCAGAAGTAGGGCGACTTGAAGAACACCCCGCATGGTGTGTGGCTTGGGAAGGAGAGGCTATGTCAAGCTCAATCTGTGGGAGCAAGCGATGTTGAAGTATGACAAGACTGG